CTAAAAAATTTGCAGCTAAGCATAAGCAGCACACTCCTGTTTGTGCATCTGTGCAGCTCCTGCCTGATGATTCTGTGGGCTATGCAACAGATCAGACAGCTGTAAGCTGCGGGGCTTTCAAGAAAATGAAAAGAGATACCAAATTTCCTCTTACTCTCATAGCTTGAATTGATTTTCAACCTCTTTCCAATACACTTACTAGGAAAGTCAATGACCCACACACAAAATATTACATGATCCAAAGAGTCATTTCTGTTTGATTGGAGATACTTTTTTCTTTTTTTACTTTTTTTACTTTTTTCTTCTCCAACAGATAACCTTCCTAAAAGGATGATTATACGAGTGCACTATCCTTAAACTCTGCTCTAGCTCATGGCAATGAAACAATTTATACCACAATTTACTTATGTTTTTTTCAAAAATATGTATCAAGAATTTAAAAGATAACAAGCAGAACGCTAAGTACTATTATCATCTGTAGGCCCAAGATTCTCAAGTTTGTCTCTCTGTTCCAATTCTCTCCTCCAAACTCCCAACCCAAATATCCAACTGCCCACTCATCATTCCCTCGTGAATATCTCAAAAGCACCTCAACTCTACAAATCTAAGCCCAAACTTACCTTTCTCCAGCCTACTTTCCTCCAGTGTTCCTATTACAACTCTGCAAGTCTAAACATTTGGAGTCAATCTTGAAATCTCTCCCCTTTTCCCATTCCCTCTATTGAATGCTTCAATCCATCATCATTGCATCCTGTTGATTTTGCTTCCAAAATCTCTCTTACATCCATCTCTATTACCACACCATAATCCCAGATGGCTCTGTGTCATGCCTGGGCTTCTGCAGTAGATTCCTAACTAGCCAACTTGAATCCACTTGGCGCCTTCTCATCTTTTCTCTATAGTACAACCAGAGTGATAGTGTCAATCTGTAAATTAAAGCCAGTCTCATCGTTGCTTAAAAACTTCAATAGCATTATGCTAAGTAAAATAAGTCACACAGAGAAAGACAAATATTGGCTCAAAGAAATAGAAAGTAGATTGCTGGTTACCAGGGGCTGGGGGGATGGGGAAAATGGGGAGCTGTTGGTCAAAGAATACGAAATTCCAGCCATGAGGAAGTTCTAGGGATCTCACGTACAGCTTGAGGTCTATAATTAACAGTACTATATTATATACCTGAAAGTTGATAAAAGAGTAGATCTTAAATGTTATCGCCACCCAAAAGTATGATAATTATGTGAGGGGGTAAAGGTGTTAACTACATTTATTGTGCTAATCAATCCACAATTTCTACATGTATCAAATCACCACATTGTACAACTTAAACTTACATATATTATATGAATTTACATACATAACCTTACATATATATATAGTCAATATATATATATATATATATATATATGTCAACAATATGTACATTATATGTATGTCAATAATAGCTCAATAAAGCTGGAAAAACAAATGTTCAATAGCTTCTGTTATGAACTGAATTGTGTCCTTCCTCCCCCAAATTCATGTGTTGAAGCCTTAATCCCCCAGTGGCTTAGAATGACTCTATTTGGAGATAGGACCTTTAAAGAAGTAATTAAAGTTAAATGAGGTGATAAAGATAGGTCTCTTGGGCCGGCCGAGTGGCGCGTTGGTTAAGAGCTGGCTTGGGACGCCAGAGGGCCCCGGTTCGGATCCCACATATGAGGGCCAGTGACACTGCCCTCCACAGCTAAGACGCTGAACAACAGCTCAACCTGGAGCTGGGCTGCTGTGAGTCGCCGGCGACGGCGTAGGCTGCAGCCCCTGTGGCAGTGGGTTGCCATGGGCTACCGTATGTAGCCAGCAGCCAGCGTGAGCGGCCAGCAGCCGCAGTGAGCGGCTGTCCAGAAGCCGGCGACTGATCTGCCTCACCCGGGAAGAGCGCAATGATGGTGCCAACTTGGGCCAGTGAAGCAACATCCTCCACAACTAGACTGAAGAACAAAAGGACAGCAACTTGTCTGTTCCCCTCCCCGCAATTCCCCAGCACTGTTCCCATCCCCCCAATTCCCCAATTTAAAAAAAAAGTCTCTAAACCAACATGATTAAAGTCTTCATGTATTAGTTTACTCAGGTTGCCATAACAATATACCACAAACTGGGTGGCTTAAACAGCGGACATTTATTTTCTCATAGTTCTGGAGGCTAGAAGTCCAAGATCAAGGTTCCAACCAATTCAGTTTCTTGGGAGAGCTCTCTTCCTGGCTTGCAGACAGATGGTGGCCTGCTTATGTTCTCACATGGCCTTTCTTTAGTGTGTGGGGTGGGGATGCAGAGGTTATGGAGGGAGCTTCCTGGCATCTCTTCTTATCAGGACACTAATCTCATTAGGTCAGGGCCCCACCCCTATGACCTCATTTCACTTTAATTACTTCCTTAGGGCTTCAACATATGAATTGGGGGGTGGGGGCATCCATTCACTCCATAACACCTTAAAAAGAAAAATACCCATCAAAGATGTGTGCCAAGAGAGAAGGGCCGAGAGAGAACAGACGTGAGGGAGGACACAGTGAGAAGGGATCCAGGGAAGGGGAGCCACAGACAGTAGTCTGGCCCAAGAGACCTATCTTTATCACCTCATTTAACTTTAATTACTTCTTTAAAGGTCCTATCTCCTCTCTGGAGGGCAGGGGATCCAGTGAGGTCCTGAGAAAAGTGTGGATTTGGGAGGAGTCTATGGAGGAAGAGGAATGGTGGGTCTATATCTACTCCCCCATATCCTCAGCTCTGTGGAGGGTTGGGGGGTGCATTTTATTTAGGACCCACCCCATATCAAGGGCACTGCACCTAACTTTGTATTTTCATATAAAGCCCTGAGATACAGGTTCCTGGATAAACAGGAGACAACGATTGTCAGCAGGTTATTCTACTGCCTCCTTCACTCTCCAACCAGGGCAACAATGAGCAACACCAAGCCATCACCACCCTGCTCTCGGGCCCTGCCTTTGGAAGCCATTCATTTACTCATCCAACAGGCATATACTGAGCACCTACTATGTGCCAGGCACTGTGCTAGGCACCAGAGTCACAGCACAGAGCAAAGCAGACAAAGATTCCCTGCTCTCATGAAACTTCCATTCCATGTGATTCCATTTAGATCAATAAAACGTCCAGAAAAGGTAAATCTATAGAGAAAGAAAGTAGATTAGTACCGTATTTGCCGGCGTATAAGACGACTGGGCATATAAGACGACCCCCTAACATTTCCACTCAAAATACAGAGTTTGTTATATACTCGCCGTATAAGACTACCCCCTCTTCCGCACACCTTCCACACACCAAATAAAAGGTAAAACAATATCAGATTTGATTTGGCCCACTGAAGTGCAAACAAGCGTATTGTATTTCGTGTCACCACATAACCGTTTTGGCGATGTTGAGCCACCATGTCTGCTACATGTTTTTCGAGTTCTGGCCAGTATGGGGTGCCTCTTCTTAATGCACACTTACCCCTTGGCATACTCTTTAATGCTTTCTCATTTGATTTCCAGTCCCGAACCATCTTTTCTGTTACTCCATATTGTCTTGCAGCAGCACAATTATTATTTTCCTTAGCAAAGTTTATAACTTTCAGTTTAAAATTTGCATCATACTTCTTTCTTTTGGCTGGTGCCATGATAGGGATGATAGGGGTTTGACTGGTCGACATTTTCTATGCTGTACTGTACAATGGTGCAGTATTGTGGTTGGCTGTTGGCTGTATACAAAGCCTGATTTGATTGGTCCCTGCTCCCTGTTTGCCCGCCCTGTCACTATAGCAGTCTGGTCCACCCTTGCATCAGCATCTCCCTGGGACCTCACTAGTGCACAAGTGCGAGCTCTTCAACATTCTAACAGGCACCATGATAGCGCAAAATCGCGAATCTTCAATGCATATGTAAAGAAATATACGGTAACCCGAATTTACCACACTCGCAAAATCGCACACAGCCGACCATACACCCAGTATGGTATCGCGATTCGCGATTTTGCGCTATCATACTGGGTGTATGGTCGGCTGTGTGCGATTTTGTGAGTGTGGTAAAATCGCATAACAGCAAAATCGCATAACAGCCGAGCATACACCCAGCAGCGCTGCTGATGCCTGAACGGTATGTGGAATGAAGTGGGCGGGCATCGGGAGGCCACTATGGCACGGGGCAAGCACTATGGGCAGTCTATCTGAAGTGTACCTGGCGTATAAGACGACCCCCCACTTGGAGGCATATTTTTCAGGGCCAAAAAATCGTCTTATACGCCGGCAAATACGGTAGTTGCCTAGGGTTTCAGGGTTTGGAGGAAAATGCAAGTGACTGCTAATGGGTAAGAGAGGTTTCTTTTTGGAGGATGAAAATGTTCTAACATTGATTGTGGTGATGCTTGCACAACCCTGTGACTATATGAAAAACCACTGAATTGTACACTTTAAATGGGCAAACTGTATGGTATGTGAATTACAATCTCATTAAAGCTGTTGTATTAAAATATAGTAAGGGCCAAACCCCAGAGCTTTCAACCCAAAGCTCCATGCTATTTCCACAGTACCAGACTGCCTTCTATATATTATATTATATTATATTATATTAGGAAGACAGACAATAAATGACACCCAATGAGACTGAAAAACAGATTATTTGGAAAGACCTTTAACTGCCAACTTATTTGCTAACATATCCCTTAAAGTATAAGGCACATGAGAGATTACATCAGTCGGGTTAGGTAACAAACAAACCCCAAATCTCAGTGGCTAAACAACAGCAGTTTCACACTCAACCTCTGTCCACCAAGGGTTGGTTGGGGCTGTTTCCTCTATGACTTGCCCAGACTGACAGAGAAACCACCATCTGGAGCTTTGCCAGTCTCCAGCGGGACAGGAAAGAGAGATCACACCAGTGATCACATGATCCAGCCCAGAAGTGACACACACACTTCTCATAACTATTTGGCAGAGGAGTCACAAGGCCCCATAAGCACAAGGAGGCCTGGAATCACATGCCTGGAAAACAGAAAGCTTCTCAAATTCAGTAAATAGCACTAATGTTTGTACAGGGAATTAGGGCACAGTGTGATTAAGAGCAGGGATTGTGAAGCCAGCATGCTGGGCTTTGAATCCCAGTACCGTGGCTAGACATCACCATATTACCTTGGAGAAGTTAACTTGACCTCTGCCTGCCTTTCTATCTGTAAGGAACTTAGGACAACAGCACCTGGTAAGTGCTAATACCGTAGTGTTACGTATCTTGCATTGTTTTGGAAAACAATTAAGGGCAACTCTAAAATTTTACAATATAAGTACTGGATGGGCACTAAGTGAAGTATTACCATAACATCAAACACATACAAAGCAGGTACCAAATAATCAGTAGCCTTGACCAAGAGAGAACTGTGAGGCCCAAACCCTCCCTACCCGCCCTGGCCTCAAACCAGCTGCCTGGTTTCTTGGCTTCTAGGTTTCTCTCTTATCTTTAAATGAGGGCAGGTATGAGGTGATTTCCAAGCACTAAAAGCTTGCATTTTTTTTTATTCAAGGCTCACTGATCTGGCCTGATAAGGTCCTTGTCATTCTTCACTCTGTTCTGCGACCATGAAGGACGGTCCTCCCCTTCACAGAAACAGAGCACCAATGCATTCCCTGTCTAGTTCAGAAAGAACGCCCCTCACCTGGCTTCCCCCCTCTGGACAGGCCCAACCTAACCCTGCTAACCTGGGAAAGCATCCAATTGCTGTCAGCCGACCACCAGGAAGTTGCCAGGGGAGAGGCAGGTTGCTGGGTGCACGTCAGCGGAAGCGCCTCAACTCCCAGCGAGAGGGGGGAGAGGGTGCAGTCACCCAGAGGGCAGCTCGCCTCCTCCCACCCCTGCTGAGGACTTTCAAACCCTCCACAAACCACTCAGAAGCGCCCTCTTGCCTTTACCTGCCCACCGATGTCCTGGGCGGAGACCGCACCTGTGTGTTGGAGGGACAGTAGCTATCACCTTGCCTAGGGTTGCGTGTGTTGAGTCTCTTCTGGGCTGGGTCATGGGGGCACATGGTTCAAGAGGAGCCAAACAGCCCCAGAAACCTTTCTGTTGTCAGTCTGGCCGTATTCTGGGGTCAGAAACAGGAATACAAATTTAAAAATGAGGAAGATGTTCTGTGAGGAACATAAAAGCTCTTAGTAGACCAAAGCTTTAATGAGTAGGGAGCCAGTCACAATATTTCCACCTCAGTTGAACAACCCCAGTTAAACACACTGAAAGCGTGAATAAAAACATGTGTGTGCCTAGGAAAATAAATCTCTCAGTGCTGCTGCTTTTCAAACATGAATGACCACATCTAATGATTTCAGTCTCAGTAGCTGAGGCCCCTCCTTTTTAGGTGCCATGAAAGCCACTTTCACCAATGTAATCTATTGCCTTAAACCCTTTCTGCCCTTCAGTATGTGTCTCTGAGCATGCTCTCATTCTGCTTTATACTCCATATGAATTTCTCTCTGCACCCGTATTGTCATCTGCCCTGGAGATGTCAAGTCCATGGGTATAAGACTCCAGCCCAGGCCCACCTTCAGAGTAAAGCCTTCCCTGAATCCCCCAGCCCTCCTCACCATTTTGGGATCACTTACTGTCAACAGCACTCATTTGACACTGCCTTATGCTATCACTAAGGTTCAAGCCAAAAGCCATGGAGGGGAGCCCCCTTGGAAGGGGGCTGTCCAGCCCCAGTCAAGTTGTAGATGACAGTAGCCCTGGCCAATTTCTTAACTGCAACCTCACAAGGGACTCCTAGGCCAGGACCACCCAACAAAGCCACTCCCAAATTCCCAACTCAGAGTAACTGTCTGAGATAATAAATGCCCTTGTTTTTCATGAGCTGCTACGTTTGGGGTAATTTGTTATACAGCCATAGATGACTAACTATAAAGTACCACTAACTACAGGTGATAAAGCAAGCTTAGTAAACTGTTGGTGGTAGAAGTGAGGTGGTGGACATATGGGTGTTCACTGTAGATGGGTGTTCTTTCAACTTTTGTGTATGTATGAGAATTTTCATATTCTAACGCTGGGGCAAGTGCAGCCTGCACAACAGAAAGCTGACCACTGGATCAGTCCATGACCCAGCTTCAGAAATGTTTCCTGGCCAACAGAAGAGAATGATGTAAAAGGATTCTCAAGGAATACAGTCTATTTGGGAAGCACATGTCTTTAGACTGTTACTTATTCTCTCTATATTTTAAAGTATGTATTTGTGTGCATCAAGTAGTAGTACGTGTATATGTGCTTTTCTACTTGTTTTTTATCCCAATCTCCAATTTTCAAAAAGGCATTGATCTGCCCATTTTGGTTTTGATCAGCCAGGGTACTTCTCAGGAACCCCATGATAGATAAGAAATTACTGTTATATCAGAAGTAACCTATTTCTTCATCGCTTTGTCCCACTCTGCGCTCTGCTCTCTGTTTGTTCTGTCTGATTTAGTTCCCAAACTAATTAGGCTAGCTGAATTCCCTGCTGCGTTGTCAGGTAACGGTTAGAGAAATTTGATTAACTTTTACAAAACATGCTTGACACAAAGCTGCAAGAAACGGACACTTCTGCCCTCCAAAGAAATTGGACTGGTCAGACCAGTGTTGACACCAGTTTGAGTTTTCTTTAATATTTACATGGACCTGACACCCGCTCCTGTATATTATTGTAGTGACAACACTCTGCTGAAATTGCTTTTCATACCAAATGCTGATAATGTATTTTTATTTTATTTATTTATTTTATTTTTTAAGATTTTATTAGGGAATTGGGGAAGGGAACAGTGTAGGGAATTGGGGGAGGGCAACATTGTGTTTTCCCAGGACCCATCAGCTCCAAGTCAAGTTGTTGTCCTTCAATCCCCGTTGGGGGCAGGGAGGAGCGCGTAAGCTCAGCTCCAAGTCCAGCCACCGCCTTCAATCTATTGGGTCGTCGGGAAAGTCATAACGTATTTTTCTATGTTTTTTCTTGCAAAAATGCGTCTTGACTTTGCCAACGACCCAATAGTTGCAGGGGGTGGAGGGGTGTGCAGCCCACCATCCCATGCGGGAGTCAAACTGGCGACCCTGTTGCTCAGAGCCCACACTCTAACCTAACCAACTGAGCCACCTGGCCGGCCCCATGATAATGTATTTTTAGATAAACAGTGCGACTGGCCTTAGTCTTTTCATGTAATGACATCAACTATAAAAACATTTTGTAATAAACAGAAATCCAGACTCATTAATTTCCCCAAATATAAATAAACCAAAATCTGCCTGTCAGTGATGGGGGCCTATTTTGTTTATTTTATAGACATCAGAGGGGATCATCACAGTGTGTAATTGATTATAACAGCTGCTCTATTACAAAGTACACAGTGTTGTACTAAAGATAAGCTCGGAAAATATCGACAGCTGGATTCAGTGTTTAACATAGGATTCTATGTTGTGTGTGGTGTCTTCTCGACACCGGCCAATGCCAACGTACCTGGAAGGAGAAGCCTATGCAGTATTCACCAGACACCCAAGGTGTGATGGGGGCTGGCTTCTTTAATCTCACCTCATCCTCCTCCTAGATGGAGGACAGGAAACTAAAACTATATTTTGTAGACCCCACACCCTGCAGCAAGAGGCTGAGATGGTATCCAGCAAGAGGCTGAGATGGTATCCAACCAGAGGCACCTGTGCAAAATTAGGAAGCTGGAAGTGAAGCAGAGGCCTCCTCGGTGTCTCCTGCTTGACCGGCAAGCAAGGTGTGTAAATGGGATGTTTTTCTGTAGCTACATTCTAGGGCCATTCTCCTGGGTGCTGAAAGGAATTGTGGTGGCGGCCCCATCTGAATTCTGGCTTCCTGGTCCCACAGCCCCTGTTAACACCCTCCGAGTTGGGAGCCCCTGGTAGGCCAGGTCTTCCCTGTTCCAGGGATCACCCCAAGGTCCAGCCTCCAGCCTCCTAGGGCCTCCATCCTTCCCAGTGAGTCTGTACTCAATCCCCTGACTCTTCTTGCTTAAAATTAACCTAGGCTGGTTTCTGTTTCCTACACTGAACCCTTATTCACAACAGAAATCCTCTATCTTTTTAAAATATTAAAAAATGTAAATGGAGTTATCCATCCTACATTCACTTTCCAACCACTCAATCTCTAAACACTTCAGGATGGGTGGAAAGTGCTGAACTTGCACATGTCAGGCACACAGCGGTGGGGGGGCGGGAGGGGGGCGGACAGTGCACGCCGCTGGAGTAAACAGAAACGCAGAGACCTGCTAAGGAACTGGAGAAGAAGCTAGTGAAGGGTGAACATTAGGCCAACTCTGCCTGCAGAGAAGACAGGAAAGGAAGAGGGGGAGGATGCAAGCAAAACCAAAACCTGAAGGCTCAACTAAGTAGATGTGATGGGCCAATAAGCCACAAAACCTGCCATGAAAACCATGCTCACTGTTTTACAGTCAAAGCTCGCACTGTATAAGGTGGGGCGAAAAAGATGGCAGCAGCTCATCTACATGTGTGCGATTGAACTAAGCTCTCACACGCTGTGGTTTCACAGTGATTTAGATTTTCAGTTAAAGGGAGAGGCAGGAAGTATTCTGTTTGGTTCAAAGCCAGCAATGTTAATTTCCATTCGCAACACTGCTGCTGCTGACTGGGTAGACAAATTCCTGACCTGTTTCCTGTGTGACTGTCCTCCAGGATGACAAGCCCCTTAATAACGATAGTAGCAGCTCCCTTTTATTGAAGACCTACTGCATTCCAAACAACACATGCTTCTTATTTAACCTCACAACCACTGCATCAGGTGGATATTATTAAATAAACCAAGAATACAATCACGTGTGCTCTGTGCACCTCGCCCACCTAGGTCCAAGCCTCCCTCCTGTCTCACCTGAACGCTGCACAGCCTCTTACCTGATCTTTCTGTTCCTGCCCTTCCCCACCCCCCACTGACTGGCTATTCATCACAAATGCCAAGGTGATCACTCTTTTACTCAAACGCTTTCCTCGCCGTCCCCACCCTTGGCTCTCAAACAGGACTTCTCATATTACCCAGAATGGAAGCCCAGGTCTCTACAAGGGACTACTAGGCCCTCTGGGATCTGCTGCTTCCTCTCTCTGTTCACAGCTCCTCCTGTCCCCTGGCTCACTCTGCTCCAGCCACCCTAGCCTCCTTACTGCTCTATCAGTCCACCAGGCACACCCCTGCCTCAGGACCTTTGCACTATTGTCCCTCTACACAAAATGTTCCTCTTCGCCCACATATTTAAAGGGCCCTCTCCCTTAGTCCCGACAGGTGTTTGCACAAATGTTACAAATGCCTCCTCTGACTACCTGATTTAAAACTGCAGTCTTAGTGCTTTTTATTATCTATGTATTGATTTCTTTTGTTTACTGTGTTTTGCCCTCCACTAGCTCCATGAAAATAAGAATTGTTGTGTTCAAGACTACATCAGCCAGGGCTGGCCGAGTGGCACGGTGGTTAAGAGCTGGCTTGGGACGTCAGAGGGCCCCGGTTCGGATCCCACATATGAGGGCCAGTGACACTGCCCTCTACAGCTAAGATGCTGAACAACAGCTCAACCTGGAGCTGGGCTG